GGATTAACAAGTTTGCCAAAGTGCCACCTAGTTAAAGGTGTTTGGGGGTGGAGGGGTTTAGCGACCAACCTCCCAAACCCAGTAAAGAGACGTGAAGCTGCTGTTTGTCAGCCGACGGCCTCGCTATTCCAGCGGTTTATGTTGAAGAGCGGCGGATGTATCTATGTGCATAACCCCCTGAGCAAGTACGACGGAATGCACATGCTCGTTTTGAACTCCTGACCAAGGTTTCCAAACAACAAAGCCGTGTAGTCGTCATCTGCCTTTCCTGAGAATGCCCAGCCACAGACAAACACGTGAGTACTAGAGAAATTGACGAGGCCTGACGAGGCCATGTCTTCAAAATGCCTGCCACTCGACTCACCACATCGTCTTCCAAAACATGTGTGTCGGAGTGAAGCTGTACGTTGGTTTAGCATACCACTCATTCTCTGCCAATACTTGGGGAGAGTTTTACTTTAATTTTCGGTACTTGGACCATCGTGCACCCCCAGAATCACGGTGGGTCCTCGCATCTTTCCAGCGCCGCATGCTGCGCGCGTAGCTCGCTGCGCTGATGCCGGGTCCTGACAGAGCCCGAACACATGGAAACTCTTGAAGGCAATGGCCCCGCAGAGAGGATGTTTTCACGAGCTTGTGTTTGGGTAGCTTCTTGGAACTTGGGTTACAGTTTCTGAAGCTCCATAACGTAAGTACCACCCTAAACTGAACCCTATAGCCCTTAACCCACTAAACCCTCAACAATGTTCAGAGTAGCGGGTGGAGAATTTCTCGTGCTTCGCGGTTCAGGGTCCTTTGGGTGTGGGATTTGGGGCTCTGGATCCGAGGTTTCTTCAGGATTGCTGGGTTTAGGGTGTTTGTGTTTCATAGTGGGGTTTAGGATTACCTTAACCCTGAAAAAGCTACCTGTCAGGGCTCCTTATGATGAGTTCCTTATATAAGTCCTGAAAAAGGTAGGTTATTCAGGGTTAGGATTTGGGTTTATATGAAGGGTCCAAGTACTCAGCAATCGTAGACTCCCCCGCATAGTAACCTACATAACTACCATCCTAAACCCAAGAGGATCTGGGATAGGGAAGCTTTTGGCTCCAGGGTTTTTTTTGGGTTTCAGGTTTAGGGCTTAGGGTTACCTCTATTCTAAGTATCAAGGCCCCTAATATATAACCCTACCGTAAATCCAATTGACCCCTTCAAGGAGCACTTCACAGGAACCCTATTCTAATTATTAAGGCCCCTGCGTTAATCCACCGGCCGCGAGGCACGGCCGCCTGCTCCGTGACGCCTCGTTCACTTTGCGGCTGAATACCGTAGCCCAAAAAGGTTAACCTTTTCAATTCTGGTAATGTAGGAACGTGATTAAGAAACCTTGGGCCTTTATTGGGTTTCTTAATATGAATCCTACTATTTTGGGGCTATAGGCCCAGGGTTTCTTCAAAAGGTTCCTACATTAGCATTTTCTTACTTACTCAGCTACTAAGTTCAGATAATCCACACCAGGACAGAGGCCTTGTTCGGCTTCTCTCTCCACCTATAGGAAGGTCGAGCCCCAGTGTCCTGGCGAAGGCCCTGTGCGCGTGCGCTGGTGTTTGCCTTATACGGCCGATACTTTTTGGCTCAAAGCATGGTTGCCGTCCTGCTGCTCTTGCTATCGAAGCCAGCGTTCGATGGCTCCAAGGCTCTCAAGAGTCTCGCCAGACCCGCCACGTGTTTTGCGAGTACAGGAGCCTAGTTGGATTTAGGTTTATGGCTTAGGGGTTTTTGGGGATATAGTATAGGTATAGTGGCATACTTACTTGAACTTATAATATGGAAGCCTAAGGAATATAGCATTGCGAAATATTCGATCCACCATGTGACGTTCCACTTGCTCAACCCACTACTGCAGGTATGGAATCACCCTAAACCCTACCTAAACCAATCCAGCACTGAAGCCCCTTGTGCCCTAGAGTGCATCTCCCAAACCCAAAGCTCCACAAACCCAGGGGCCTGTGAGGGTTCCATGAGCTATAAATATAACAGAGACAGGCTAAGGAATGCCGCTGTTTACATGTTGTCCAGACCCAGGCTAAGCCCTGAACCCCAAAACCCTAGACTTGCAAAGCCAAAAACTCTGAACCCCAAATCCAAAACTCCGAACCCCAACTCCCTCAACCCTGAACCCCTAAAATCTCTCAACCCGTAATCGTCCCTGAACCCCAACAGGCAAAATTCTTGACTTCACCCGGACACTAATTGACCTTTCTTCTAAGGATGTATATAAGTTATGTAAGGATACCATATCCAAAACTCTATAGACCTCAACATACAAGGTATCCCGAAAAAAGTACCCCAAACCCCAAACCGCAGCTAACTCCCTTCGACCGAGGTGCTCGTCATCCTCCTCTGAAGAGGATGAGCTTTTCTCTCCCACGTCGAAGTGTTCAACCTGTGGGTTTTAGGCGTTGGGGTTTAGGGTTTAGGGGTTTAGGGTTTAGGGGTTAAGGGTTCAGGGGTTAAGGGTTCAGGGGTTAAGGGTTTAGGGTTTAGGGAATGTGGTGTTTAGGGGATGTAGGGTTTAGCGGTTTAGGCCGGTCTGGAGTTTAGCTGGATCATCATTATCTTCATGCCCTTAAGGTAAAGTATAGGGAATCCTGGCACTAACCATGCTGAATCCGGGGTTCACCATAAAGGAGCCCTTAAAGAAGCCCTTAAAGGTCAGCTGTGTGCCGACAATGCCAAGCATCTACGGGAAGATGCACCACTCCCATTTTGGGGGCTTTCAAGGATTTGGGGCTGAAACCCCTGGACCCTGCAAGTACCTACACAGCCTTCAGCCCTTGAAGGCACAAACCCTAAAGGCTCAAAACTCAACATCAAGCTCGTAGCCACTATGAGGGACCATAAGGCCTCATTAAACCCTAAGGGTTCATGTGCTCATATAGTATGTACATTGGCCTTAAAGTAGTCCCTATATAGGTACTTTGGGGCCAAGGCACAGACTAGTTGGGCACACGGACCCTTAGGGAAAGGATACTTTCTCTAAAACCTAAGCCCCTAAACCCTAAAACCCTAGAGCCTAAAACCCTAAACCCTAAACCCCTAAACCCTACAACCCTAAAACCCTAAACCCCTAAACCCCTAAACCCCAGAACCCCTAAACCATAAAAACTGAAACCCAAAAACCCTAAGACCCTAAACAACTAAACCCTAAACCCTAAACTCTGAAACCCTAAAACCCTAAACTCTAAAACCCTAAACCCTAAAACCCCTAAACCCCATGCTGGTTGGTTATCTACGAAAGCCTTCGGAACCCCCGGGCCTCGAAGTTCACGCTGCGGAAGCAGAAGCGTTGCTTCTGCCATCGCATGATGACTTCCGCCATGGCTTAGGGTTTAGGGTTTAGGGTTTTAGGGTTTAGTAAGGGTTTTACGGCTTTAGGGTTTAGGGTTTTAGGGTTTAAGGTTTAAGGCTTTAGGGTTGTAGGGTTTGGGGCGACGAGTTCGTATGCCTTACCCTCCTTACCCCTTTCTAGAGGGTCCATATATATATATATATATATATATATATATACTACCACTGTCGAATTAGATCCCACAATATCCTCCTTATTAGGAGCTGTTGGACTCGGGCGTCGTCCACGGGATCGTGCTCTGCAAAACAAGCCAGACAGCTTGTCAGCAGCTGCTCTATACACACGTCAATATAGGGCCCTTGATAATTACAATGGCGTTTCAGGGTAATCTTATTAAACAAGACTTATAGTCATCAATAAGGAACACCCCACATAGTTTTGATAATAACGTGTTGAGGCCCCTATTTGCTTGGTTAGAAGCGGCATATTTTTTTGCCACGGTTCAAGCCCAGAAGCTGCTGGCGCGGTGCAGTCAATATGAAGCTCTGGGGCCAAACCAGAAAAAGAGGGGTGTAGGGTTTAGGGTGTAGGCCCAAACCAAAACAGGCAAGCAGATTGGGAGTTTGGGGTTTCGGGGTATAGGGTCTTTTTGGGAGTTGGCTCCGGCTCTGCTTTGCTTACCCCATCCCAAGCGGGGCATGGACTGCTTGTCAAGATGCCGCCTTTGTGGGACGCCGCTTGGGATTTCCAGATTCCTGGGCCTGCACTTGCTATAATCTGTCTGGTTCTTAGTAGAATGGATACCTATAGTAGTCCCTATATAATACCCTCAATAATAGTCTCCATAATCCATCCCCCAGCCCCTACTAAGAACTGGACAGTAATGCCTTCAACCTCTGCAGGTTGCAGGCTGTTGAATCGAGGTGAAACCCCCACCCACTGCCTCAGACCTTTCCAGGTCCCACCAGTGACATCCTTCCTATGGTCCACAACAATGAAGAGGAAGGAGTTTATGAGTCCTGCATAAACCTTATTGCAACGACAACTCAGCGAGCAAATATGCAGGCAACCGGTTCAAGGCTAATCTCAATCCCATCGTTCTTGCGCGCCCTCAGAACCAAAATAAGAACAATGATTGTAAAAATACCCTCGACGTGTTTGGAATAAGAAATCCTAAATCGGCTAAGGATCTTAGCGTGGTATTTGCAGTCTCTTCTGGGAATCCTTCTCGCAGAATTATCGCTCTCTTCCGCCAGAGTCCAAAAGACCGATGATCGCATAAAGTTGGAGCAGCTTCAACTTACCTTTGGTTAGTACCCCAAGGGTCCAAGTACCTAATAATCACATACTCTCCAAAATCCTAACCTACATCACTACTATCCGAAAACCGAGTAGCTAATTATTGGGCCCTTTGGACCCTTGGGGGTAGGGAATGGAGGAATGGGCTACTAGTATAGCTACATGTACTACCATTCTTCCATTCCCTACTAACCAAAGGTAAGTCAAGGAATGAGAAAGGTTGCAATAGCTAACTAACGGGGCTGAGATAGATTCCCATCCTCTCCTAAGGATCGTTCTCAACAAAATTATCGTCCTCTTTCAGCAGAGCGCAAAAGCACGATCGATATATACATACCTATATATATATATACATAGCTAGATAGATAGACTACTTTAAGGCCAACCTATACACTACATGAGAACATGGGCCCTGAGGGTTTACTGGACCTTTTTCGATCTCAGAACAGACTGGGTCTGTCGGCACACGTGGCCTCTTTGGGCCTCGCGGCGGTGAGCCGACGGTGTCAACACCTTCGGACACGGCTTCTTGCAGCATCCGAGCAACCTGCCAGCATGCTGCTTCATGGTGTCTGCTGAGGGCTTAGTGTGTATTCGGGCCGAGGATTTAGAGTGTAAGGTTTAAGGATTTTCGGTCGGGATTAGGCTTGAGCTACGATAGCGGTTGTGAATACTTAGAATACTTTGGAATATCCCGTCTTTAGGACTTCATTCATTAACCTCGACGAGCTTCGAATGGCTTGCTTTCGTTTATAAGGGTGCCATGCCAAACTCGAAGACCCTAAACCCATAAATGCGAAACCCGAAAGCCCTGGACCCTAAACCCAAACCCCATAAGTGCTAAACTTTGCACCCAAATACCCTAAACCCCGAACCCTGTACAAACCCATAAATGCTACGTTCGACAGGACCGAACCCTTAAAAACCTGAACCTTAAATCCCCGAATGATCAACCCGAAAGCCCTGAACCCTAAACCGCTAAGAAAGCCGCCTGCACGTGGCCCTTCGCCGAGGCCACTGCCAAGGGCGAATCTCCTTTCAGATCTGCCTCGTTGATGTTGGCCCTGGCCTTTACAGAGGGTTCAGGGTTCAGGGTTTGAGGTTCAGGGTTTGGGTTTAGGGGCTTAAGCTTTGGGTTTGAGTAGGGTTCAGGTGTTGAGATTTGGGGTTAGGGTTTAGGTACAGGTTGGGGCTATTCTTGAGATGCGGGTTTACCGTAAGTCCCCCCAAACCTGAACAACCCTGAACCCTAAACCCATGAGGGCAAAAGGCTTCACGAGGATCAAGGGAGCTTCCCATTTGCGATTTGCAGCTCAGGGTTTATAGAGCCTATACCTGGGGATCCCAAAACACCTAGGGTCTCAAGGGTTCTACCCTGCAATTAAGGGGTCATCACCTACTGCTTTGTAGGATTTGGGGTCACAGGTACAGACCCAGTACAGCCTAACCTAATTGGGTTTAAGTTTTCGGAACATTTAGGAGCTAGGCAGCTGGGGTTAACACAAATCTACAGAATGCTTGCCCATCTTTACAAACCTCCGCTGCAAACATCCTCAAGCAGGGCCCCACCGTGAAGTTGGTCTAGCCTCGTTATCCAAATACACATTCGTTCAGTATCACTACAGGTTAGCATTTGGGTTAATTGGGGTTATACAGGGATCAGAAGTCCCTCCAAAAAGGTTGAAGGCTACCTAGTCTAATACTAAGAATGCAAAAAGTCCTTGCATAGCCCATATATAGACTACAAGCCTGCATAGAGCCTGCCAATACGAATCGTACCCCAAAAAGCCTAAAGGTCAAAGGTTGCCTACTCTATGAGAAACTGCCATTTAGCAAAGTCGTGGATATCGGTTTGTCATTGGGTTTAGTGTTCGTTCAGGGTCTCAAGGATTGGGGTCTTAGGGTTTAGGGTCACCGTGTGCGATCTTTGCACACCTACAAGCCCTGAATACCCTTGCTGCTGGGGCTTGGGTAACATGAGCATGTGGTATTGGAGCCATATAGTGAGATGGTATCTCTTCGGGGATGGTGAATGACATAGTACTTGTAGCTGCTGACAGTCTTTACATGCTTAGTTCACAGGTGGTTTTAAAGTTAATTAAGCCTCTAATGTAGAGACATGTTCCAGAGGCTCCACCCATACTACCGTTGTGGAATTAGGTACCTAAAACCATAACATCGGTGGTCTTTTTGGGCCTAATTCCAGAATGGTAGCATACATGGAGCCTCTGGCTGTTCATGTCCACCTTAATGGGAGCGCCTGCAACAGAGAGCGCACCACGGCCACGTTGGCGTTCGCGGCAGCCAGCCACAACCTCCCACTTCCGAAACAAACGAAGCTCTGGATCCTCCGAGACCCAACTACTTAAAGGCTCATGGGACGTAGTAAGTAGGGTTATAAGTAGGATATAATTCGGATAACCCCACTCAGGGGACTTATAACCCCAGCTATAACCTATTTATTAAGTCCCATGATCCTCTAACTACCCTCCAATACACCGGAAATACCCACTACTAATGACCATAAGGTCTCTATTAAAGGGCAGTTGGGGGGTCCTGGCTCATAGTCAAGGGTGACAGATGTTTACGGGTGCTTGTCAGAAGTGTCCTATGCTGCTTGGTGTCTATTCCGGGGTCCCCGAACTTATGTGAAACTCCCAAATACCCTAAACACTTCTTGTGCTTGTCGGAAAGTCATCCCCCTCAACAAACACTGACTCAAGGTCAAGACTACCTTGGGGGCATGGGGTGGTTCAACAGGGTAGGTGATGTCACAAGTTTCGACATTCAACTTCGCACTTCAATCTAAGAAAGCCGAGCAGCGGCGACTGCTTGTCTCTGGTGGACTGCCTGGGAGCAAACTGACTAGAAAACCGCACAAACACCCTGAGTCCCAAAAGGGTCCTAGATACTGTTATGGGGACGCTTTCCCGCACCACAAAATAAGGATTCCCAATATAGAAACCCTACATTCTACTATGTAGGTACTTTGGATCCTTTGTGAGTGCCTTAGCCTTGCACTCCACCCCCTAAGGCCGCAAAGAAATAGATGGAAAACGTAACCCCTTAATCACCAAACCCAGTATAACAACCTAAACCAAAACAAGAGCTACAGCAGAGACTATAAGTACAACCGAAACCCATAAGTACCTTAGTTTCATCATATCCATACAGGAGACTACAGGCACAACATAAACCTATAAGTACCTGAATTTGAATTATTCAGTGGTTATTATATCCACATAGGCATCTTGTTCATATCCCTAGTTACTAAGTCTCATGACAAAGCCACCTAAAAACTAGCCCCTAAACCCTAAACCACCAAACCCTAAGAAGCCGCGCGGCTCTTTGTCAGCCTTTGAGGCAAGCAAAAGCCTCACGATGCTCACGAAGCCGCGTGCGGCAGCCAAGCAAAGAGGAGACCTGTGTTGCTTAGGTAACTTCGGTTCCTTGAAGGGCTCCAGGGGAACTATAAGGGATCTACACGGGAGGGTTTTAGGGTATTTAGAAGATCACAGGATGTAGTGAAAGGAATATAGACAAGGGACCTTTATAGGAATCATCATGACTGATAGCTCCACATGAGGTACTTATACGCTTACTTACTAAGTCCCATGATCCTCCAAGGAGTGCTTGTGGGCCTTGAATGTGGGGCTCAAGCTTGAGGATTTGGGGTTTAAGGTTAAGGGGTGAGGGTTTCGGGATGTTGGAGCTTTGGGGCTTTACGGTTTAGGGTCTAGGGTCTAGGTTTACAATGCCCCTTAATTAAGGAATACACCGCAAATTATAATAGGATCCCTAATTTGATTTAAGGAGTTTTCCTTAATAGGGATAATGGGTTCTCTGGGAAACTTGTACCTCCATAATGATTACCTCCAAAAACCATGGCCGAGAGTCTTGCTGTTCTCACAGTAAGTACATCATGGTAGCGTAAGAACAAGATAAGACGACAACAGTGGCATTCAAAGCAAGCATCCGTTTTGCAAATCCTTGAAGCCGAAAACCTGAACCCTAAAGCCTGTACCCTGAAACCCTTAACCCTAAACTCTCAAACCCGGAAACTCGTAACCCGAAGCCCTACACCCTGAACCCTAAACCTTACACCCTTAACCTGGACCCTAAACCCGAAACCCCTAAATCCTCAAAGCCTAAAGCCGTAAACACAAGTAGCCCATATTGCAAAGGAGGGTCTGACCATTAGCACTGGCCAGGTCGTGGTCTGCACCTGCGGATTTTCGCTTCAAACCCTACCGAAACCTTCAAAAATCCCTTACTTTCGGAAAAAGCCCTAGTCTATAGACGGGATCCTACGATAACTTCGGGTATCTTCCTTGATTCGGAGATTTGGGAGCAGTAGTAGTGTTCCCTGGTTTTGAGAACTCTTCAAGGGGAACCCTTAAAGGAACTCTATTCTAATGAGGCATATTCCTGCATCAGAGGATATTGGAAGGTCCGGGTACCTGGACCCCGAGAAACCTGCACGTTTAGTCCTTATTATCGTTTCCTTAAATAGGTCCTAAAACCGGTTGGTTCTTTGGAGTTCAGGTAAACCCTAAACCTTGAAGGATCTTCTAAAAGGGCCCTGTGATAGAGCGCTTAGGGTCCTTTTAATAGTGGACGTTTAGAGGGTAGTTGGGGGGGGGTCTTGAGCCTACGGTTTGTGAATTCAGGGTTCAGGGTCTAGGGTTTAGGGCTCTGGGTTGAGGGCTTTGACGATGTGGAGGTTAGGGCTTGGGCGAATCTCGGCAACATGTAAGTAGCTAGAAGCCCAGAGTCAAGAGCCCTTAAGGCAAGTCACAGAGCTCTACTTGAACCCTACCTACAGGCTCATACCCTACCCCTGTCCCAGGATACCTAGCTTTATGGTTTCATCCGTGGTATAGAGAAGTAGATATCCTTAAAAAGGGGTAGGGTATGAGCATACAGGTACCTAATATGGTACCCTAAATAATAGGATCCTTAATGTAAGGACCCCAAAATAAGGTACCCCTACTTTCGGAAACTCGGCCCGGATTGTTTTTGGCTCCGACCTGCTTGCAGCAGCACCTGCGCGACCCGTGTGAAGCCCTTCTTTGCGGCGCTCCACAACAAGGTCTCGCCCTGGCCTGGGCTTTAGGGCTTTGGGGCTTTAGGGCTTTGGGGCTTTAGGGCTTTGGGGTTTTAGGGCTTTAGGGGTTTAGGGCTTTAGGGCTTTAGGGCTTTAGGGGTTTAGGGGTTTAGGGCTTTAGGTTTTATGAGGGTTTAGGGTTTAGGGACGTTCACTGTCTTAGAGTTGAAGGTAAACCGTAAATACTAGAAACATAGGAAAACAAGCGGGTTCACGGCTCATGGTTCCGGCCCTGCGCTGCTAAACTTAAAAATGTTCAGGTATGGGTCCTTTACCTTAAGACTCCATGCATACAACTAGTACCTATTTTCAGGTCTAGAGTCTATACATACTACCTTCGGGCTATTTGGAGTCTTAGGGTTAGGGTTTCGTTGGAACTTACTCTCGGTCTGGGACTACCCGTTCGAGCTGTGGTGTGGTCTAAAGGACATGGGGTCAGCAGCTACGCTTGAGGGTTTGGGGTTTGGAGAGGTTCAGGGTTTGGGTGTTTTTGAGGGTTAAGGGTTTCGGATTTAGAGCTTTTAATTTTGGGGTGTCGGAACTGCGGGGCTTTGTTCTGAGACTCAGGTTGTAGGGTTCAGGACCATATCCTGAAGGAAAGACAAGACTCTGTTGGCCCAATTCTTGTCCGCACCTGCCTTAAGCAGCATTTGCACGATGTCATCGTGACCCTCGGTGGAAGCCTTCCATGCAGGCTGGGAAAGGCAGTGTGCAGCAACGCCGCTGTCAGACGGGGTCGCTTCCAGCAGCAGCTGCATGATCTGTGCATTTCCTGACTTGTTCAACAGCCGTGAAAAGTTAAGTTTCAAGATGCCCTGTGGCCCAGACTCAGACAAACAAAACAGATACCAGTCGGGTACGGCCCCCATACAGTAATAGTCTATCATGGGGCTAATATTAAGCTCCTTATATCTCTATCTTATGAATATTATCCAACTGTTACAAAGTCGGGGCAGTACCCAAGACACCAGGCTAATCGAGTTTCCCAGCTTTGCCGCCACGGACAGGACCGACTCTCCCTCATCGTCGCAGTCGATGTCGGCCCTAGCCTCAAGCAGCGTGCGCACGACGGAGACACGGACCCCTTCGACGGCATTGACCTGTGGGCTGCTTGCAAGTCCATTCAAGGGATCGCGATTCCTAAACCAGAAACCCCCAAACCCCGATGAATTTCGGAGCCCCCAAAAAGTCAAGGTTGCATACAACTGCCATAGCTGAAATCAAATGAGAACTACCCCGCCACCTCTGCCTTCAGGACATCCAGCGGCTGTGGGTCCAGGTGGCTGTTGGCTACGGCAATCCTGGGTCACTGCTCTCACTTGCTGAGTTCAGGGAGCCCTCTTCAATCTTCGCAGGGTTAGGTAAATCCCCAAAGGCTCAAGGTTTCGTTACTGGTCAGAAGCTAAGGTAGGATTGAGCGTAAGGCCCAGGGATCGTATGATTTTCAGGGTTGCAAAATGTTGCAAGCATTATTTGTTGAAGCGGTGCATAACTACGCGTATGTCTCCGCGAGGTTTAGGGACATTTCTGGACGACTGTGCCGCATGATTCTGATAAAGCTCTACAAAACCCCCTCAAGATTTGAGGCATGCGAAGTGAAACAGAATGACAAGGGGATTCGGGATGAATTAGGGGCTTGTTAAAACCTCAACAACTGCAGCCCAAAGCCAGATGAGATCGCTGAACCGAAACTCCAAAAACCTGTAAACTCCCTGACTCCTCAATCAGTAAACCATACGGCTGATGATATAAATCCTACATTACCCATAATAAGGAATATACCATAATTCCCATAGTTTAGGGTCCTTAAGGTAATGCAGGATTTATATCATCAACCGTAGTAAACCCTAACGTCCTCTCAGACCGGAACACTAAAACCCTAAACCCTGTATTACCCAAAACCGAAACCCGCCACAGCCCATAAACCTTAAACGCAAAACCCCCGAGCTCTACACCCTAAACCCCCTAACTCTGAACCCTATAAACCCCCGAACTCTAAACCCTAAACCCCCTAAGCCCTAAACCCCCTAAGCCCTAAACCCTAAACCCCCTAAGCCCTAAACCCTAAATTACTAAACGCACGCCCCGGGCTCCACAAAGCAGATCTCCCGACGCGATCGGGGATGGCAAGGTCGGCCCGAGCTCGGAGCAAGAGCCGCAGAATTGCTGGGTGGCCAGTGGCTGCAGCGATCCATACCTGAGTAATTAGGGTTCCCTTAATAAGGGTTCCCGATTAGGGTTTAGGGTTCCTTGAAGGGTTCTTTAAGGGATCTATAGGCTTTAGGGTTTAGAGCTTAGGGTACTTAGCAATCCATACCTCGTCGTCAAGGGCTCCTTAAAAAGCCTGCTAGCTAGGTTCCTTACAATGCTCAATGCTATTCCCCATTTAACAGGTACTTCGGAATGCTTCGACTGATGGTCGACAGAGGCACTGGAGATTGGCGGTCGATGTTGGTCTTGTCCAGTCCTGCAGAGGCTTGCACCAGAAGCTTCACCACGCCCTCGCAGCAGTTCCTGCAGGACACCCAAAGCGGAGAAGAACCACCACGCGTGTCGGTGTTGTCCACTTCACATCTCGCCTGGGAGCTTACTCATTCGAACGGGTTTCTGTGTATATCCCAGCACACATATCACAAGGAGCCCTAAGGTTCGTATTGGTAGCTACTCATTATTCGGGCATCTTTGTTCGACATATAACACCAAGGTAATACTAGAGAACATGGGTCGCCTGTCTCTTTATGTGGGAGTTTCCGAAAGTAGGGGACACTAATATGGCACCCTACATAGTAGGATCCTCTGTAAAAGAACCCCAAAACAAGGTACCCCTAATTTTCGGAAACTCCCACCAAAGTCCCACGCCCTGCCTGCCCTACACTCTACTCTGAGGCGTGGGGTCCCTAAGCTGCAATCCCCGAAAAACCCTGAAAAACACTGAAAAACCCTAAACCCTAAATCCTAAATCCTAAATCCTAAACCGCTAAACTCTGAACCCTGTAGGGTTGAGGGTTGAGGGGTGCATAAACCCCTGAACCCTGAACCCCTCAACCCTAAAACCTAGACCTTTAGAGGGTTTAGGGTTGAACCCTCCATCTGCCTTTGTAAACCCAAATTGCTGACATTCTACTGATATAAAGGGCCTTAATAAATCGAATAGGGTTCCGTTTGAAGGGTTCCTTAGAGGGGTCTAGAAGGGATCTATAGTAGGGTTCTATGGTAAAGAGGCCGTGTTAATTAGAATAGGGTTTTGGGGCCCATTGTGCTATAAGTATAACAATAAGGACCCCAAAAAAAAAACAAAAAAAGATGTACTGGCAATTATTCGGGCCCCTATACTACACGTCTGATCTCAAGGTTCACCTTCTTGGGCTATCTACAGATTATTAGATTATTGTAAACCCCGAAAAATTGGAACATGGATCAAGGAAGATACGTGCTAGGATTCCCCATTATTTTGTCTTAAGGGCGAGGGGATAATGGTGTTCCAGGTGGCTGGCTTCCATTGCACAGAAGCCCAGAGAAGTTAACAATTTCATGACATCACTATGACTATGCCCCCTTAGACCCATCATCACAATAATATGTATTACATTCTCTTGAGTTTGATATGATATGAGCAAGAAACAAACAATAGTTCCAAAGGAGACGAATAATGAGCAGAAAGATAGAGCCCTTAGACCCTTTATCTAAAACCCCCTTAGAACCATAACAAAAGCTTAATATTCTCTTGGGTTATATATGAACAAAAACAAAAAAATCTTCCTAAAGAGACTATAGTTCTACAACCCTTACAGTTAAAACCCTAAATCCTAAACTCTTAAACCTTAAACCCTAAACCCCAAACCCTAAACGAGTAACTCGATGAGTTTGGAAAAGCCAGGGCCTCCAAAAGGAGCTCGACGATGCTGCTGTGACCCCAGTAAGATGCAATCCACAGGGGTGCCATGCCTTTCCTGTCGGCTTTGTTGACCTGGGGGGTTTAGGATTTAGGAGTTTAGGGCTTTGGGGTTTGGGGTTTAGGGGTTTAGGATTTAGGAGTTTAGGGCTTTGGGGTTTGGGGTTTAGGGGTTTAGGGCTTTGGGGGTTAGGGTTTAGGGGTAAAGGTTGTCGGCTTTGTTGACCTGGGGGCTTAGGGTTTAGAGGGCTTTGTGGGCTTTGGGGTTTAGGGCTTAGGAGTTTAGGGCTTTGGGGGTTAGGGTTTGGGTTTAGGGGTTGCGGGTTTGGCGGTTTAGGGTTTTAGGGCCAATGCTGAGCACTTTGTCGACCTATATAGGACGCTGGGCTTCTTGCTTTATGGTTTCACTGGGGCCTAAAGAACCTGCATAAACAGGTCAGGGCTGAGGGTCTAATGTAGGGGCCTTAATGATTAGAATACGGTTTTGGGGGCCCCTGATACTCTTTAAATATGTGAATTAAGAATTAAGAAACGCCCAAAATAGTATTGGCGATTAAGCAAAAATAGGCTTGAATGTTGCACCGTTCCTTGACCTCGCGCTTTGGTTTAGAGTGTAGGGTTGAGGGCTCATAGGTTTTAGTCCCACAGCCAATGGGCTTAGTGCGTAAGGTTCAGAGTTATATCTCCCTGGCAGTAGGCATTTTGGGTGTACTTTCAGTGTAGATGCACCATCTAGGAGTCTCTCTCGCTCTCTCTCTCTCTCTCTCTCTCTCTCTCCCTCTCCCGCTCTCGATAGTCTCTCTGTGCCTTCTTCGCTTCTTGTGCAGGGTCAACCCGAACTCCTAAACCCTAAGCTGCATTCCACAGTGAGGTAGAAGGGCCCGAAAAGGATATACGTTGGCCCCGATGTAGTCTCTCTATAGGTACTTTGGGGCCAAAGTATATACCATTTGGGTACATGGACCCTGAGGGCTATAATTAAGGGTCATAACCTACTACCTTGTACGGTTTGGGGTCACAGGTTGCACAGGCCGTCTAAGCCCCAGAATCTAGGGTTTAGTTTTTTCATCTTCGACATATACGACCCTCAACCCTAGAATCTGGTGGCTAGAGTGTCAGATGTGTTCAGGGCTTCTGGTTTAGGGTTTTAGCTTGGCTCAGACTCATGCGGCTTGCGTTTCCGCCCTGAACCCGAAACCCCTATATACACCCTAAACCCCTGAACCCTTAACCCCCAAGCCCTAAACCCTGGCGTAGATCCCTTCAAGGAACCCCTCTAGATCCCGTTCAAGGAACCCCACAACCTCCAGGACTCGACTCAGGCCAGTCGCATTTGCCATGGCCTCGATGAGAAGGCGGGCATTGTCCAAATGCCCTCGAGCACTTGCCACCCACAAAGCTGGCCTGTCTACTATAGGGGCCTTATTAACTAGACTAGGGCTCCCTTTAAAGAGCTCCTTAAAAGGGCTCTATAGGGGATTTATAATAGGGTTCTATAATATAGGGGTGTTAATAATTAGAATAGGGTTTTGGAGCCCATTACACTATATTTATAATAAGGAACCCCAGAAATAGTGAAGGCAATGATTTCGGCCCGTATATTACGCCATCGGTACTGCTACGAGTATGTGTATAAATACATAATAAAACGATGTAAATAAATCCACATAAATAAATCTAGAAGAAAACATATATATATATATAGATAATAGGGTTTATCAGGGTCAGTCAGGCTTTGAATACGGTCGAGGTTATTGCTACAATTCTAAGTATCGTTGTCGTTACTACTTGTGCTACCAAGTAAATCGGGTTTAGCCCCCCTAAACCTAAGCCCATAAACCCTAAACCCTAAACCTAAACCCTAAAGATTTGTTCCGCTTGAAGCCAACATGCACAAATATCCCTCCCTTCCCACACCCCACGACCGCAGAGCTAGCTTTAATCCTCGCTCCAAAAAATCCTAGGGAGGGTTTATGTAGGGTTTAGGGGTTGAGGGCTTAGGCTGTAAATAGGGGCCTTCATGCTAAGAATCCATGGGTATCTGTATGGTTTATGTCGGGGATAGGGGTCTTTAAATAGGGCCCAGATGAATAAGCGGGTTGTTTGGTGTATATCATGGTACTGGAAGGACAGGGATTCAATACACATGAGCGCAGCTGGCTGCCACAATGTAGGCTATGGCAATTTCGAGTAAACTCCAGTCGCACAAAAAGACAAAAGAAAAAACAAGCAGTCCCTGCCCTAAACCGCAAATCCTCAACACAAAAACTTTAAACTCTAAACCATGCACCGATGCCTCTCCATTCGATCCACCACGACATCCGGGTTCATCGGCCTACTTGGCGCATGCGATGCTGAAAAGTCTGCTCTAGATTTGTCGGAGGATACACCCGGACCCTATAGAATATAGTAGATAGTCCGCTTTTCGTTGCCTATAGAATTCTTTCTCGTAGGGTTTTAACGGAAAAGTAGGTTCAGGTCGCGAAAATCCGGACTACAATTCAAAGTTTAGGTACCCGGCAGGAATCGGTGTTTGGGCTGACCTAGCGATGCCCTGTTTCAAGGCAGAAGAGGCAACAGCCATGGTGCAGGGCCTAAGTACCTACTATACGGGCACATGGAGTCTTAGGGAAAAGACGACCTCAGAAAGATGAACAATGCCATGTGTGCTAAATCAATACTTTCACACCTTTTATATTTGGGTTCAGGGCTTTAGGGTTTAGGGGTTCAGGGTTTAGGGTTTCACTGCTTCCAAGCTATTGTTTAGTTGGGATCCTTTGCAACCTTTGTTGTTGATCTTGTTGTGGCCCTTAATAGGAAGGGACAGTTCTAGTCTTCTTCTCTTACAGTGGTAAAGACACTAGCAATTATGATAAAAAGAACCATGTCGTAGCCCAAAGCTCCAAAACCCTGAAACCTAAAACCCTAAACCCTAAGCTACTATAACCTAAACTACTATATCCTAAACTACTAAACCCTAAACCCTTATGGGAACCCTCATCATAACCTCTGTAGCCCCAAAAATCTTCAGCCACTCTGGTGGGCCTTTTCAGGAGCCCCTCCAGCTCTGCAGCAGCTCCCTCCAGGGACGCGGTGCGCAGATGGGCGAGCTCCTGCGGAAACACCGAGATGCCCCTCCAAACGGGTCGAAATTTACGGGTTTCGAGGGTTTAGGGTTTAGAGTGGTTTAGGGGTTAGGATCTAGTATATACTTTTGGGTCCCAGATATCTACTGAGAGCCTACTTTTATCATACTTGGACCCTTTGGGTCTCGGGGTGTGAATTCTTGGCTTTGGGAGTTGTGTTGCTGGAGGCGGCTGTGACTGTGAGAGTAGCTATAAAAAACCCCAAACTTTGAGGAATGCTAAAACCTAAACCCTAGATCAGAAGCCCTAAACCCTAAACCTAACATAGGGACTAGATCGTGACTTTCTGCTATAGTTATAATCAGGAACCATCCCCACCCCCTCAAAAAAAATAGCATTGGTAACTATTTAAGCACCTGTGATTAGAAGGGTCAGAATTCGTTGGGGATCTAAAGTTTGAGGCGATGACCTTTGTAGGAAAATACGGCTTCTGTTGGCTTCCAGCCCATGCAAAGCATCCTCGGGCCCTCTTTTTTAGGCTTCTACTGTAAAGGGTTCTGCGGGGTTACTATAAAGGGTGTTACATAATACACGGGCCATAATAATTAGAATTGGCTTCGGCACTGCCCCCACGCTGAAACAGTTCACAAGTAGGGGTCATATCAAAGGCTAAAATTTGTTTGAAGTTGTTATCCAACCGTTGCAGAATGGGGGAAGTACTTAAGCTATAGCACCGAACGCGCATCATTGCCATCACCACCCTCAACTAAACCAGACTAGAAGCCCAGACACAGTTCCGTAGGTATGGTCGGTTACTGTCTATGGGCCTGTATATCGGCCCCTAGATGACTACAGTATGACAGTATGATAGCCGCTAAGGGGCTGTGCTTCTCGGCAACCTCCACATAGGCTCTGCATCGGGGCTCTTAGTCGAAGCTATAACTTGCAGAAGTCAGGGTTCTCTACACCCTAAACCCTGGAACCTGATGTCCTACGGTTGATGATGCAAATGCTGCATTACCCATCATAAAGAGTGTACTACCAATATTCCCATAGTTTTGAGTTCCTTAAGGTCATGCCCCCTAAACCCAATTCCTTGCGGTGAGGTGCCCCCTTTCAGGCCCCTCGGCCCCAGTCAGCCTCCTGTGTTGGCAGGGCCCAATTGAGGATCACCACTGAGAGCTCGGCCCTTCAGCTGAGGGTTTACAGAGGATGGTAGGGGGTTTCGGGTTTAGGGGTTTAGGGGGCAGGGTTTAGGGTCTAGGGGTTTAGGGGTTAGGGTTCAGGGTTGGTTTACAGAAGAGGTTTTGAGATAAGTTCAGGATTTGGGGTTTAGAGATTCAAGGTTTTACCGTTTGACCGAGAGTGCCAGACGTGGACAACGTCTTAGCCCTAGCAGCCCAAGTACCTCTAAAGAAACACGCTGCTTCAGCGGCATAGGGCTGCCTGGTCAATATCTCACACAATCTCTATCTATCTGTATACATCTATGTCATGCATATATATATATATATATATATATACATATGTATACAGCTAGCTTGGAGTGTAAGGTAGCTATTGCAGAGGACTCGAGGCTTTGGGGCTTCAGGCTTCGCAAGAATCTCAGCGGACTGAATTTGGCTGAACCACAGACAAGTCTTACCTATAGTCTCCATTGTAACGTAGGTCTTTTCTTCAGAAGCTTGACAAGTTTTGTAACTTGGTAGACCGGAGGCAGGTAGTCGGAGATAAGGCTCGAATCGCCAACTGATCTGCCACCGAACACCTGCCCCCCTCGTGCCCCTTTGGAACCAAAGTACAAACAATATCTTTCATCATCCTTTGGCGTACCATTGCAATACGCATGCAAACCAATCCTTCAGAACACGAAAAGAAGAAAATGTTCTTAAGAGCACTGAAACACAACCAAGTTCGTAAGAATACTGTAATATCAAAGAACTTGAAAAGCCCTAGAATTGAATCAAAAAAGCCCTGCAGCACAAACCTTGGACTAGGCCTCTGGCCGGAACCGCCCAACAGCCTGAACCCTAGAAGCCCCGGGCATCAACCTTTCAACCTTCAACATCTTACAAATCACACAACTCCATATAAGATTATATATTTTTCACTGCGTTGTACTGTAATGCATGCCAAATGCTCTCTTATAACATATAGCGTTTAACGCACGCACGCACGAGCCAAAAAAGTCTCTGATAAATCCGAGGCCCTGCCTAGGACCCAGAGAGAACCCCGCACCCTGTCTTTGATAGGGCGCAAATTGGAAGGACTCCAAGGGTGGGATGAATCCAGGTGGGCATACAACCCCAACATAAGAGTCCTTATAGAAGGGATCCTTGACCCTACCTACCTTCATCCCACGTTTTGATGATCCAAAAATAGAACGCTAAAGAGGAAGTTTAGAAGGGATCCCTGATCCTACCTACGTTTTGATGATCCAAAAATAGAACGCTAAAGAGGAAGTACTCGGGTTCGTCAGCCTGAACCCTATAAACCTCAGACCTACGTTCTATTCTGATTAAACTCTAAACTCTGGGATTTGGGATAGGAGCCTGAGCCCCTCCATTTTCTTGTTTGAGTGTATAGCTGCCGAAACGCCTCATAAACCTCTAAACCCCTAAATCCCTAAGCCCTTCAGCGCTTTAACCTGCAAACCTCACACCTACATTCTATTCTAAACTTTAAACTCTAAACCTCTAAACCCTTAAACCCCCAAGCATTCAGCGCTTGAAGCGGTGCCTCGCCCGGTAGGACGTCAGCTTCCGATCCTCGAAGAGAGGTTCCGACTCGCCCTGTGCGGTGAGCTGCAGCCGAAAGCGTGGCACGCCCAGGCGGTGACGAAGGTACCTTCTTAGGGTTCCTTATTATGATTTCCTTATATAAGTTCTGAAAAAGGTACCGCAGGCATGTGCCACAAAACCTTAAACCCTAAACCTACGGCCTAAACCCGCTTAAACCCTAGATCCTAAGCCCTTGAGCTTCAGAGTTGAGGACTTCAGAGGGCTAGATGTGTTCAACTCAAAAGCTTTCTGGAAAAGTCAAGTTGAAACGTAACCTCGATGTTCGTTTTGTCGCAGCAACTAAGTACTGAGTTGGCACGTTGATGTCATCGTCTGAAGCTGGTGCTAGGATCTTGTGTGCGCTTCAAGTCAGCGTCGATGTAGCATTGCTGGGGCTACCTCTCGTCCTAATTGTACTTCTCGTCTTGAGTTACCTTATTATCAAGAAGGAACTACAACAGAGCCGATAGTTTCAGAGAAGTCCGCCGAATACCCCTCACTTAAACCCTATAACGGTTTAGGGTTTGGGGTCTTTGGGTTGAGGGTTTGGCTGTGCTTAATGCTTTCTTTTCGGCTTTAAGGCGTTTGTGCAAACGGTCGGGATGCTTTCGGCCTCCAAAGGCTTAACTGACTCTACGACGACGACGACTACTACTACCTCACAGTATCCCTTAAAGGAGCCCTATATTCTGATCATTTAGGCCCCTAGATTACTAGAAATAAGGACTCGAGGTCACCGCCCTCTTTCGATCCAGGCTGCCTTTTCAATCCAAGAACTGAGTCGCCATAGCTTTCCACCAGGGCCTTGAAAAGGGCTCTTCTAACACCGGTAAGGGCTCCTTTATTAAGGGCTTTTTGAAGGGCTCTTGTAGAGGCTCTAGATGGCTTCTCATATGGCTTAGGGGCTTAGGGTTTTGGGGGTTTGGGGCGCAGGGGTTTAGGGTTTAGGGCTTGGGGTCTAGACGGTTTAGAGCTTGGGGTCTAGACGGTTTAGAGCTTGGGGCTTAGGGTGACAATAGGTTTCCACCAGAGCATGCGAAGGGGTAGGGAGGGACGTATCAGCCTCGATTTGAGCAATCCGTGATGGGGATCGAAAGAAGCGCCCGGGTTCTCAGATTTTTTGTGTGTTTGATGACGGACGTTTGCAAAAACTCAACTCTCGAGAGGTTCAATGATTCTACGCACGGATGCTTCGGCAAAATGTACGATCCTGCCTTCAACAATGGAATCCTCCATCCAACGAATGCCTTGTTGCATCTTTCTTTCGGTTTCTAGATTGCCTGTAGCTAGTAGGTTACTGACATACATCCAATAAGAGACCCACACACCCGAAACCCCGGGCGTCTTTAAAACGGTGAGTGGTACAGGGGCCTTAATCACTAGAAGAGGTCCTGAGGCTTTATGTCTATACTACGGTTAAATGGGATGTTATTAGGATGTCCTTAAGGGGGGGTGGTCCAAGGGGGGTAGGTAACCTAGTAATCCCCATTATTCCCCAATACTCCCTAAGCTTCCCTAAGGTTCCCCAAAGCTCCCTAGTACCCTCCCCCCTTGAACCACCCCCCCTTAAGGATCCTATAGTGTTATGTAAGAACCTTAAGGACATAAGGAACATTCTTATGATTATGGCTACGGTTGTTGTGTTCTTGTAGTATTCCCTTCCCACAGGGTCCTGGGTATTGTTATGGGGGGTGCTTTCCCAAATCATAATAGTGATTCCTAATAGAAACCCTACATTCTACTATATAGTTATGATAGAACCCTTATGGATCCCTTAAAGGAGCCCTTAACTTATGGTGCCCTTAAGGGACCCTGTTTTGGGTAGTTTGGACTCTCTGGGCTTTGACAGAGATGCGGCTAACTCCGTTACCCCTAGACCTCTAAACCCTAAACCCCAAAACCTCAGTAGTAGGATATCTATCATCAGGACCCCGAAATTCGGCAAAAACCCTTGCAGATCCCTTTACAGTAAGGACTCTTTGGACTTTGACAAAGATGCGGCTAACTCCGCGGCATCCAGGCCGGCCACCTGCGAAGGGCACAAAAGCCGCCACAGGTTTCGGCTTTAGAGCTTTAGGGTTTTAGGGTTTTAGGGGTTGAGGGTTTAGGATTTAGGTTTCGGCTTTTAGGGTTTAAGGGCTCTGTAGGTTTGAGAGGGCTTACAGGCTTTAGAATTAATAGGGTCTATCATGGCTTTGTGTAGAGTTTCCACTAGAAGCACCGATTCAAGACTGGAGGTGATTGATTAGTAATAGTGCATAGACCCTGCGAGCCCTAAACCTAGTTGCATTCGGGCTTCCAGGCTAAATGCGCAACGTGATGTAGCGGTTGGCGTGTTTGGAAAAGCGCCCTAATCCGAAACCCCAAACCCCTAAACCCTAAACCGCCACTGTGTAGGCCCTGAAAGCTAGCAGCACAAAAAGCAGGGCGAGGTCCAACACCCGGCATTTCCGGTGTTTCAAGGTTTAGGGATGTACCTAGACCGTGGTTTATGGTTTAGGGTTGACAACTACCCTCTAATATACCCCAAATACCCACAACTAAGGGCCATAAGGACTCCATTGAAGGGGTTCTGGGGGGTTCTGGTAGGGTGCAGGTTTAGATTGACCGCTTAGAGTTTGGGCTTTCGGTAGAAAAGCGGTCACGGTGCATCCACTGAAACTTCCCTAACCTTGCCGCGGAAGGGTTTGGGGTTTCGGGGCTTAGGGCTTTGGGGGGTTCAGGGTTTAGGGTTATGTAAGAACCTTCAATTAGAATTCGGATCTTTCTATCCGAAAATAGGGGACCCTAATATAGTACCCTAAATAGTAGGATCCTTACTATACGGACCCCAAAATGAGGTACCCCTATTTTCGGAAACTCCCATAATATTCCGTAGTTAAGGGAATTGCAGTCTGACGGGGAGGTCGCCCCCACTGAAGCAGCGATGCGTGCGGTGGCAGTCCTTGGCCCTATGAAACCGAATACTGTTCACCACATGACCCTTGTAAGTAGGGGCCCTATACCCATATACTCTGAATCCTATATATGGTATAGGAAACCTTAAACCCACGTAAGGCTCATTTCATCCTTAAGGTACTGTTTTTTTCCCGAGTTCGAGGTTCGGGAGCCAGGGTCGGGTTGAAGGGCTCCTCTTTGGCTTCCGGCTTTAGTAGAAGCCCCTTACAGGTGGGTAGTTCTTCTTCCATAGTACTCCCATAAGACCCCCTTTACCTTATAGGAGTGGTATGGGAGGCTTATGTGAAACTACCCACCTAATAACTACCCACCTGTAAATGGCTTAGATTTAGAGGGTATAGGGGACGTTGGAATTAGTCGCAATGAAGGTTTCCTGAGGCTGGCAAAATTCCCAGAAGGGTGCAGCTTGAGAGGCTGTAGTTTTGTCCGACTTGGATCGGAAGTAAACCCAGAACCCAGAACCTGCAAAACCCTAAACCAACACAAACGCCCAAACACTAAACCCTGCCCTAAACCACAAATTTTGAACCGCCTAATACTCCGATACTCGGCGGCTGCGCTCGAGTGCTCGCGTTTCAAGTCAAAGCCTGTGTAGACTCGCGTAGAGCCTTAGCTATCCCTGCCGGAAGATTGTTTGGAGTTGAGTCGGGGGGCTGTCAGGCTTCTTGCCGGATAATATACACGAATCTTCCACAAAACAAAAAACATATCGTTATGATGTCTGCTATGATACGCTACGTTATAACCTGATCTACAAGGTATGGCATGTCATGGTATGTCACTTTATGCCATGCTACCGTATGATATACTTCGATATGTTCTGATATGAAACGGCATGACATGATACGGTATGATATGGCATGTTATGACTTGATATGCTAAGGCATGGCATTATAATTACATATTATGTAGGTAACTGGTAGATACAGCTGTGTAACAAACAAAATTCTGCATGTGTGTAAGATCAGCATACCAAAGTGCGACGCTTCATGGGACAGGCCTCTTCGCCCGACATCTTCCGCACGGACATGGCCATCGGTGCGACTTCATGGGCCAACATTGCACTTTGCAAATGCTGGAGCCGAGACGGAACCGTGGGCAGATCTGCTCATTTGTTGGGCGCTCATGGAGCGGAGCAATAGACAACAGTCGCAGGCATGATATAGGGGCCTCAATAAGTAGCACAAGGGTTTGTGGTAAAGTATAGTATGATCATAATAAGGAACCCTCAAGATACTGTTGGTTTTTATATAGGCCCCTATAGTAGACAACATCCGCAGGCATATCCTGTTGAACCGCATAATCTTGGCCCGATGACTGAGTGCTACGGTAGTTGAGGCGTTGGGAAAGGCTTGCAACTTGGCACTTGTAGCTCAGGGCTCAACAAAGAGACTAAACCCATCATGATCCGAAATTCGTGGCATTAAGGGTGAGGCATAAGTGTGTGGGGCATATCTATCTATCTGTCGGCTGTCTGTATGTCTGTATGTCTGTATGTCTGCATGCATGTATGTATGTATGTGTGTGTATGCATAGACAAACAAACTAATGAATACCAAAATGAACCTGCAATTAAACAAACAGAACATGTATGCATGCATATATATATATATGTATACATACACATAGATATGTATGCGTTTGTCTATATGTATATAAACATATACACACACACATATATAAACACACACATGCCTCAATCAGGTTCAAAGCCTGATCCCCAGAACCAGGCTCGACTTTTCAGCGGCCGCGTGTGGCGGTGGTTTCTGCTTCGCACTGCAACGATGTGCCTGGTGCAGCATCTGCAGCAGTTCTCAAGCTTTTCCGAAAGGATCCTATAAGTACCGTTGTAGGGAATACTCACAGAAACCAGAAAATAAATTAGTTACTTGGTATTATTTTACATCAAGTTAGTACCATCTGGGTTCGCGCTTTGGGTATGTCCATGGCCCGAACCGCGATTGCACGTAGTCGACCAAGACATCAACATGGTTCGGCATGTGCGTCCCTGCACATGATGTGCAACAAAATCTTCAAGCCTTTATCATCATCCTAGATTGAAGCCCAAATGTGTTGAAAGGAATCAATGTCGGGATTCCCACAAACGCTCAAGCCATGATGCCAAAATCCGGATGGCTCTGCAAGAAACACCGTCGAAGATGGATAGTGGAGGGGCCTGTGTGTAAGTATTCTAAGTTTAAAGTTGGGCTACATTATAGTCATGCTACATTTGTAACAAGGAACCATCATGGTGAAATCCCTCCTCCAAAGATGTCATGGAACACAGGTAAAGGGCTTCAGGGGTTTAGGGCTTTTAGGGGCCAGGGTGTGGATGGGTTTGCGGGTGTGTTGGCGGGTGGGCAGGTGGGGCGGGCCGGCAGGTAGCATCGGGGAATACATTCAGAATCGGGGTTTGTGTGTAACACTTTACGGTATAGTAGAGTTGAGTAGTATCGCGGCAGCTAAGTATGGTGAACTAAAATACAATCCTCTGAAAGCTTCCACACACATGCCGTTTTCGAGGCTCCTGTGGCCCTCACTGCCGCGACATCTCTGTTCCACATGACTGTGTGAGAGAGCGTTGGGAGGCCTCAATGCCGCGCAGTCCCGAAACACACAAAGCCGTAACTTCCCATGAAGACTCAGTCCCTGTTGGAGAAAACCGGGGCGTAGGGTTCAGGGAACCGAAGTTCTCAAGATTTCGGCTCAGACCACAATGGTTTACGGGGATTCCTTACACGGTGCTTCTAAGGTTCTAGGGTTGCGGGCTTTAAATGTCAAGGGCTGGTGGGGCTCAAGATGTAGGGCTTATGATTCGGAAAGGTTAGGGCGTAATGTAGAGTGTAGAGGGCACACAACCTCCAGCAAAAGTTTAAGCCCGCTACATCGGAGGTTTGATGATTCGGGTCCTAAACTTGTAGTGCGTCCCAGAAAGTTGAAATATGCATATAGGATGATAAGTGCTGGGATCCCCAATACCATACCTCAAGGGCACATTGATGATGCAATTTTCTGGCTGTTGTATTCATGTAAGGGACCGGGACACCCACAACAATTTTAAAGAGGCTCTATGGAATACACGGACTTCGGGAAAGCCATCTGGGCCTCAAAGGTTCTCGAGACTGTCGAATTTCCTATACTGAACTTAGAACCCTAGCAAAAATTATGAGTTTAGCTGTTTCTTAGGGATTATTATAATAACCAAGAAATACAACTTATTTCTAAGTACCCCTAAGTATTTCGTGGGCTGGGATGGCATCCTGCGCCACAAAGCTACTCTCCTCCTCACTGCGGCGCAAACCATCCCTGGGCGTGCAAGGGCGAGGGCTGTGGGAGTTCTTTTCGGAGGCCAATAAGGTAGAAGCCAGAAAGTTGAAATATGATTATCCTAACCGTTCTATGGTAAATTATGGGGGATAATTCGCCAGATTATAGTAGTAATTCCAGCACTCTACTTTATAGGTACTTTGGACCCTTTGGGAAGAGCTTGTAAAGTAGGAACTGCTATCACGGTGGGTGTGTGGGAAACCCCATGTAAGTAGGTACTTTGGACACTTTGGGGTAGGTGTGCACGCCCTAGAGTTCACAACTCAATGCCTAGAAGGCCAACCATCATACAACAGGGCACATGATATGGAAGTCTGAAAAACACCTTCATTATTCGGTACGGGTTGCTGCATAATGCCTGTGTATATATATATATATATATATAGAGAGAGAGAGAGAGAGAGAGAGAGAGAGAAAGATGTATAAGTCTAGTTTGCTGTTATATACACATCCCAAAAAACTAAACCCCGACCCCATAGCGCAAAGTGTTTTGGAGCTTGATCTCGAGCTGCTACTGCCCTGGCGACGAAACTCTACCTGAACCCCAAAGAACCAACCCTTTGGGGGGGTTACTTGTAGAAGGAAGTCATCATAAGGAACCCTAACAAGGTAGGTTTTATCAGGTTAAGAACCCTAAAACCTAAACCCCTAATCCCCAGGCCCAGGCCTAAGTTTTGGACCAGCCGACAGCCAGTCCCGTGCACTTCCCAGAACCCCAAAGTGATACTCCCAAAGTGGATCTCTACACTAACCCTAAAGGTCCATGTACTACCCAAATAGTACATACTACTTTGGCCCCCAAATACCTATATAGGGACTGCGTTAAGGACAGCTTATATACTAGATGAGTACATGGACCCACACTAATCCTGAAGATCCCTCTAATGGTCCCTCTCTTACCCCTCATCGTATCCTAAACCCGAAATCTTAAACCCACCACCCCTAGACTCCATGCAGGCCTTCGCCATATCCAATGGCTTGTTGAGGAACGGGGCGGCCTTGGGCTGGTGTCTCTCGATTTTGAGGCTTAGGGTTTGGGGTGTACGGCTTGGGGTGAAGAGATTGGGGTTTAGTTTGGGCGTTAGGGCTTTGGGTTTGGGTTCTGACGTTTGAGGTTTGCAGTTTAGGATTCTGCAAGGTTCGCCTTCAAGTTTTCGGCCTCTGTGGGTTTGGGGTTTAGGGTACTTGTCGTTGCAACTCTCCTAACAACCGAACCCGAGAAGTCAATCTCAATTTCCGCTTGAAAACATCATGGCGGGCTTGACTAGTACTGCTGAAGCTGCTGCTACAGCCACTGATGCTGCTGCTGCACCCCAAACACGAAGCCCTGCACCCCAAAGCCCTGATCCTGTTGCTGGCATTGCCTGTACTGTAACTGCTTCTGCAGGCCGCACCTGCAGTAGTGGCGCGGCCTTGGCATTGATCTGCCGCCACGCCTCTTGTGAAGAGGGAGATGTTCGATTCCGGGAGGTTTAGGTTTAAGGGACATAGGTCAGGGCATAGGGTTTGGGGGAGAAGGAGGTGCTCAACTCGAGGCTCACCTCTTGGGAGTTTCGGTGGTTTGGGCCCTCGTAGTCGGCTTTAGGTTTTGATGGTAAATTGCGAGACTAGAAGCGATCTTGGCTTTCTTTCCTCGGTTTTCGTAACGCTTGGTTTAACATCCTGGGCACAGATTTCGATATCGCTACAGGAATGTGCTCGTTCCAAACGGACACGGCCCTGGGACCAGGATCTAGCGTTAGGCAGTCAGGACTTCGAAAGAGTCCATAGTATGCAGTCGGTGGCATCCAACTCTCATAGTTTAGGGTTTTCTGGTTTCCAGCCACCAAATGCGGACTCGAACTCCATGAGCTACTCAGGGTCTGGTAGGTTTACAAAATGTCCGGAAGCGAAGCAGTGAGTCACTAAGCGCTTGAGCAGTAGAGTCTTTGCCTGCTAGAAAGGCCCAGCCTCCTATCTAGTTAGGGTTTGGGGTTGAGGGTTGAGGGCAGTCTGCCTATAGGTTGCTCACACTAGCTAACCTCGGACCTGAAACTTGCGGAACAATGGCTTCTTTTTTTCTGGGGGGAGATCAAGAAGGTCCGTAAAAAAGGCAGCAAAAGTCAGAGAGAGTCGAAACCATGTAGAATAGCAACCCAACTTTCTCTGGTGTTATGACATGTTTGTCTGACTTTTCCCTGGAAGTTTTCCCAGGTCTGGTATGTGCGCCCCAAAGCAGCTTTGGGTTTAGGGTTTAGGGTTTAGGGTCTAAGCAGGTCAGTCTCAGGGTTCACTCTTGAGTCACGGAAGCCGTGGCCCACCGACCACGACCCCACTCGACCCGATCTCAATCCTAAAGCCGAAACCCTAAAACCCTAAACCCTAAAACCCTAACTAAACCCTAAACCCTAAAACCCTGAAACCCTAAAACCCTAATTAAACCCTAAACCCTAAAACCCGAACTGGACCCGATTCAAAGCGACCCGACCCCTCCTTCGCTCTCCAACTTGGCCGATCTGACCGGACACGTACGCGACCTGACCTACCCACCTCACCTGACCCGACCTCACCCAACGCCAAACTATAGCGACTCGGTCCATGACTTGCTCATGACTTTTTCGCGCGGCTGTTTTTGCAAAACTTGGATTTTAATTATTGGTTAGCACAAGCTGTAGGTAAGGTGCTAACCACGTAAAGTTCGACCTCCCTCGAACTACCAAACCTGCTTTT